CTGGGGGCCAACACTCACCTCCCCCCACAGCACCTTCCTCCTGCAGCTCCCCACGCCAGCCAGGCTGGTTGGCAGCAGGTCCCCTGCGGGCCTCAGCAGGCAGCACAGCAGGCTCACCGGCAGCCAGCTCCACCCCCACCTGGGCCTCCAGCTCGGCCTTGGAGCCAACCAGGGGGACCCTTAGAACATCACCCCCTGCCCCATCCATGCTCAGCACACGGGCATGGGTTTTGGCGCTGGCAGTACTGGGTGTCCGCTGGGCCCCGTAAGGCCGCTTGGGGGGCACAGCAGTCCCCTCCTCAGCCCCATGGGGGCCCCGCCGCTTCCGGGGCCCCCCTGCTGCACCCCGGGAGCTCTCGGGGGAGTAGCAAGAAGTAGAAGAGGAGCTGTCAGTACTGTAGCGGCGCTGAGATCGGAGACTGGAAGCCGGGCTCAACTCACTGCCCTCACTGGTGTCTTCATCCTCAAAGAAACCCCCACCTTCGAGCAGGGGCCGTCGAGGGGCACGGCTGGGTGGAGAGTGTCTTCGCATGGGTGGCCGCCGTTTGCTAGGCCGCAGTAGGGCCAAGTCCTTGGGCCGCACAACCAGGAGTGGCTCAGCTGGGCCCGGTGGCGTCCCTGCTCCAATGACTGTATCAAAGGAACGCAGTGTGTCATCTGAAGGGACTCCAGCATCTGGTGAGGCAGGCAGCTCAGCCTCAGAAGGAGGGTCTGTGTCACTGCCCTCAGGGCCTTGCCCACCAGGGGGGCTGTCCAGGTGGGTTGAGTTGGTCTTCTCACTCTTGAAGCTGCTCAGTGTCTCCCTGTCAGTGCCACTGAAGCAGGAATCGGAGGAGCCGGCTTTCTGGGGTGTGGGCTCACCTGAGCCCCGTTGGTCCAGGGGCTGGTAGCCACCCACTCCCCGGCGTTGTTCCCGTCGACTGCTGGTCCTCACCAAGGCACGGTCAGGCCGGGTCAGGGTCAGGAAGCTCTTGCTCAGCTCCTGGCTGAGGCTCCCTTTCAGTAAAGGGCTCATAGGAGTGTCAACTGCACTGCTCCCACTCCAGGGAGCTCCATCTCCAGCCAAAGGAGAACGCTCGGAAGAGTCTGTGCTGGGAAGAGAGGGATCAGGGACAGCCCCTGGGGGCGTCTGGGGAAGGTCCCCAACTGTTGGGTGAAAAAAGACAAAGAATGGGAGAAAGTTATTCTCCAAAATAAACTAGTGGGTAAGGGGGTTTTATGATCTCTGAAAGCCCAGCCAGAGCAGAACACTGAAGAGGTCCCATTCAGGAGTAAAAAGGGAACCCCAGGATGTATCAAAAGTTCAGATGACCCAAAGACAAAACAGCTAGTCTTCCTCTTAAGCCCCTGCCATATCCCGCCCACTCACTCAGTTTCTCCTGTGAGTTGAGCTTCAGCATCTCTCGATCGGCTGAGGTCACGATCACGTTGTTGCTGCCCTGCTCCCGCACCAGCTCCTTAATGTCTGTAACCATGGCCCCAAAGGTGTTAGCAGGACCCCAGGGCAGCCAAATGCCATCCCCTGTTCCCCCACACCACATTCCAGCCCTGAACAGCAGCAACCTACCTCTGAGGGGCCCAGAGTCCTCCATCCGGGGCAGCAACTCCTGAGCAGACAGAGAGAGGCATGAAGGAGTAAACAGGACCGGACACAAGCTCAGGATGTGCCCACGATAGGGATTCCAGAAGAGCAGTGGGAGAAGCTGAGGCCTGGGACCACTCACCGAGACCTGATTGAAGCCAAACACGGAATGCTGGGAACTGCAGCGCACTGGGGGTGTGGAACTCACTTTCCGAAACACTGTCATCTCCACTCCCGGGTCCCTGGAGGTGGAAAAGAGCAGCAGCTCTTGAGCTAACTTCCACTCTTTATACATATGCTACTTCTTACCATTTTCTTCACTACTCCCTCCCCAAGGGTCCCCTTTACAATCCCAGGGCTAACCATAGGACCAGTGCTCACATTCACTGAGGGATAAGGCCCTCCTCCACCCTCGAAGACTCAGGCCCAGGCACCAAGAACCCTCAATCCCCAAGACAGCCTCTGCCCCACCCACCTGGGCGGATTGCAGTCCCCCTGGGTAGGCTCTTCCTCTGGCTCTCCCATAGCGGAGTTGCGCTTCTCCACAATCTCGCCCTGGTCAAACATAGCATGTAGCCGATAGTTCACAGTTTTTATGGTAGCAAAGATGACAGCCACCACAAGGCAGTACACGCCGGCCACCATCAAGCTGGGGGGCAGAACCTGAAAACGGAAGCAAGTCAGGTCCCTTCTCACAAAGCCCTGCACCCACAGACTGAATTCACAAATTCAGAAGACTTTATCGCCCCTCCGCGCAACTAGTACAAAAACCCTATCAGCGGGCTCTATCTTCTTTTTAACTGAAAAAGGTTAAATGGGGGGCTCAAGGTCACCCAACCCAGGATTAGCAAAAATTTGGCCTCTCCACACACGCACAAACTCTGCAGCGACTCCTCTCTCTCCATACTTCGGGACCCCAGGCAAGGCTGGGCTGCCAGGCTGCCCGCCCTCCACGACATCCTGCGCCCTCCCCTTCCCGGCCTGAGTTACAGGTGCTGGCAGCGTCTCACCATGTACAGCAAAAAGGGAAAGGTGAGCAGGAAGATCCAGACATAGAGGTGGAAACAGTTGGAGAAGGTGCTCTGGTGCGGGTCGAAGAACCATCCGCCGGTTAGCGAGGCCCAGACCCCCTGGCGCAGGATCTGCAACACCTGCGCCCCCATGGCCCCGCCGCTGCTGCGCGCGCCCCCCTCCCGGGACCCTCATGGGGGCGGCCCCTGGCCCATGCCCCGCCTGGCGCCCGAGGGCCCCGGGGCCCGGCCTCGAGCTCACGCCATGGCCTCCCCCAGCGGGGAAGGGGGGGTTCGGCCGCGCGAAGGTGCGGGCAGGGGGCGGGGTCGGCCGGGGCAGTCAGCGGTGCGAGGTCTGGGGGTGGGGCCGCATCAGGGGCGGGGTCTAGGCCCCCACCCCTGGCCCAGCACTGCTCCGAGGGGTAGAGCCGGCAGGCAGGCGCTGGGCACGGGCCGGGCACCCGTCGGCGGCATCCAGAGGTGGGCGTGGGGTGGGTGCTCTCGGGGTGCAGGCGATAACTTCCTTGGCTCCGGGCCGAGGAGAATCCCGGGACGCTGAGGTCCACTTCCGGGGTCGCAGGTCACTCGCTTGGAGCTCCGCGCTCGCCCCGCTTCTGCGGGTGCCGGCCCACCGGGGAGGCCGGAAGAAGGAGCGGCGAGCCCCGGCCTGCAGTGGCGCATGCGCCTGACAGACCCAGTTGGGACCCGGAAAAGGAAAACCTGACGCCATGAGTGCGCAAGCGCAGAAATGTGGTGGAGAGCTGGGAAGCAGGGGTGCCCTTCGGGCGTGCGCAGAGTCAGGATCTAAAGAAAATCCAAAAATGTAGAAGTGCTTGAGCGCATGCGCACACCCAGGCGTTGCCAACCTAAAGAGCACTGGGCAGAACCGAAGGGATAATTGAGTAGCCATTGGGTAACGGCAGTATAATTGGCGCAAAGCTCTTCCAATGAGTTACAGGAGGCGGGGAAAAGATGAAGGCGTGAACTCCCCAGTGCTACAGCGAGAGTTCTGCGTCACCGAAGCACGCCCCTCTTGGTCCGCCCCTTTTAGTGGTGGACCTCCAACGTCACGAGCGCCTCTCGCCCCGAGCGGTCTCTATTTCCGGGTCAGAACTCAGGTCTGTAGAGAGCGACCCTGTGGAGCAAGCCTAACTAGTCGAAACAAGATAGCGTCCTCTTTCTTAAAGTGACAGGCTCAGGCAATTGAGGTGCACACTACCCAGCGGTTGTGAGGACAACTCAGCTATTCTGAAACGAGTCCTGGGCAAAGTTCTGGACAACAGTCTCAGGTTTCCGCCCATTAGGGAAGAGACATGAAGAAGCGGATTGTTTCTCAGGTGAGGGGAAGAAGAGAGCTTTAGACAACCAATTCCAATAGCTTGAGGTGCAGACAGTTCCGTCTGTCTGCCCATCTTCCCCACCACCCCCATCCCACTGGAGATGTTTGCAGAGCTTCTTTTCCTCATTTCATATCTGAAAAGCAGGCTCACAGAGGATGGATCACACAGTCCTGCAACTGCGTAGCAAAGACCAGACTCGGGTTCGCCCCACTCCCAAGCTCAGTCCCATAACCCCATTTTGCTGATGAGGATGCGGATGCAGGGCGCAAGGATGGCCTGTCTTTAGCAGAGACCAACTTTGACCCTAGGCAGCGGAGCAACCAGCCTGGGGCTTTTCTTCCTAGATCCCAAAGCCTGCTGTGATGGGGGGTCGGGGGGGGCCGGGGGGCCCGGGGCATCCCTCCCCTCCTCTGATGGCCACCGCCTTCCCGGGAACTCCCCGCCCGGAGCCTCCGGGAGGGGAGCGGTGCAAGCCGCCCGCGTCATCTGATGCTGTTTCCTGCAGGAGGGAGAAGAGCGGAAAAAAGTGAAACTCCACCCTCCACCTCTGCCTCCCGCCCCCGGGGCCAAAGTACAAAGGGAGGAGGAAGAAGGGAACGGGGTCGGAGCCGTCGGGGCCAAAGGAACCTGGCAGGGACGAAGCAGCCTCTGCCCAACTGGGGACGCTCCCTCCACCCCCTGCGCAAAAAGACCCAACTGGAGTCCAGGAAGCTGTGCCCTCGCAGGCCCCACCTTACACTTGGCGGGCGCCGGAGCCAGGCTCCCAGGACTGTTCCGGGACTGAGGGACGCCCAGGCCCCTCCAAGCCAGCCATGGTGAGGCACCAGAGGCCCCGGGGCCCCACCCCTCCAGCCTGACCACACTGCCCTGGGTGTCCTCCTCCAGTAGCCCGAGATGCGGGGGGCCGGGAGGCGACACTCCTGGCTCCCCAGAGAAGCGTGGGTCTGGGGCTGAGGACCAGGGCCCGGATGTCTGGGTTCCGGGACTAGGGCCTCAGCAGCCAGCGGGGTTGGGGACCACGGGCACCCAGAGAAGGGCCCCCACACATCCCAACACCGGCTCCCGGCCATGGAGCCCTTGAAGAACCTCTTCCTCAAGAGTCCTCTCGGGTCATGGAATGGCAGCGGCAGTGGGGGCGGTGGCGGTGGCGGTGGAGGCCGGCCAGAGGGGCCCTCGAAGGCAGCAGCTTATGCCAACCCAGTGTGGACAGCCCTGTTCGACTACGAGCCCAGTGGGCAGGACGAGCTGGCCCTGCGGAAGGGCGACCGTGTGGAGGTGCTGTCCCGGGATGCAGCCATCTCAGGAGATGAGGGCTGGTGGGCGGGCCAGGTGGGTGGCCAGGTGGGCATCTTTCCATCCAACTATGTGTCTCGGGGTGGCGGCCCACCCCCCTGCGAAGTGGCAAGCTTCCAGGAGCTGCGACTGGAGGAGGTGATCGGCATTGGTGGCTTCGGCAAGGTTTACCGTGGCAGCTGGCGAGGCGAGCTGGTGGCTGTGAAGGCAGCTCGCCAGGACCCCGATGAGGATATCAGTGTGACAGCTGAGAGTGTTCGCCAAGAGGCCCGGCTTTTCGCCATGCTGGCACACCCCAACATCATTGCCCTCAAGGCCGTGTGCCTAGAGGAGCCCAACCTGTGCCTGGTGATGGAGTACGCGGCTGGTGGGCCCCTCAGCCGTGCCCTGGCTGGGCGGCGTGTGCCTCCCCACGTGCTGGTCAACTGGGCTGTGCAGATTGCCCGTGGGATGCACTACCTGCACTGCGAGGCCCTGGTGCCTGTCATCCACCGTGACCTCAAGTCCAACAACAGTGAGTTTGGGGGGCGTGGTCAGGGGGGTGGCATGGTCCAGGCACACACCTACTCCCAACCCTCAGCTGAAGCTAGCTAGGGACCAGCTGGAGGCAGGATCTCCTGCCCTAGGGGAGTCCCAGTTGGCCAGGGAGCCCATGGTCTCACACTGGCCCCCAGCTGGAGTCCCAGGCACCCAGCAGTCCTCCCGCCCCCGTCCTGGAAGGAGTCCTTGACTCCAGCCTGCAGCTGCAGCTTGGGCAAGTTAAGAAATTGGGATCTCTCAGGTGGGCTATGAGCATTTTGCCGAATTGTGGCCACCACCTCAAGGAAGTCCCCTGGATGCTGGTTCTCCTCATCTTTCCCTCCCCTAAAGTTCACACTCATGGTATTGGTGCTGTACTCTCTCCTTCCTTTGTGGTGGGCATCTCCAGGACAGATATCTCACAGGAGAAAGCCCCCTGTGGCTGTCAAGGCTGCAAGACCTCTAGCTGGTTATTTCAGCTCAGAGCCTCAATTTCAGACTCCATAAAAAGGGAGGGTGAATGGCTTAATGGCCTGGGCAAGCACTGGCATACAGCGTCCAACACGTGGGTCCTCAGCTGTGGATGTGGACATTTGAGGGATGGGTCACCAAGAGGGCCTAGCCCAGACTCAGGAAGTGCTGGCCTAAGGGAGATTCCATCTCTGGCCATTTTAGGCCTTGCACACACTACCCATCATGGGCTAGGACAAGTGAGTGGCAGGTCCGGAGGGCTTCCTGCAGCACGCAAGCCTCTCGCCAAGCCAAGCAGGCAGCATTTAGAGAGGCGCCCACTTGGGTGTCTGGGCAGGGCCTGACGAGAGCAAAGGCGCAGAGGATGGACACCAGGGACCAGGCCTTGTTGGAGCTCAGGATGCAGGCTGGAGAGTAGAAGGAGATGCAGGAGGGGCCAGGCTCAGTGGGTCCTTGGAGAGGCATGGAAGGTTCTTTGAGGGAAGCAAGTATGGATACTTCAAGCCTCCTGGACTGAGCTGACCATGGAAAAGGGGCTTGTGGGGAGCAGAGCATGCCAGGCGGGGGGGAGGGTGGCTGCCAGCCACCCACCCATGTGCTCACTCATCCATAGTAGGGGGCAATTCAGCCTCAGAGCCTCCTGGACTGAGCTGACCATGGAAAAGGGGCTTGTGGGGAGCAGAGCATGCCAGGCGGCGGGGAGGGTGGCTGCCAGCCACCCACCCATGTGCTCACTCATCCATAGTAGGGGGCAATTCAGCCTCACCCCAGGCCTAGCCATCCAGGGAACCCACTTGGTGCCCCAGCCTGAGGGGGATTCCCCGAAGGCCCAGGGGGAGGAGACTCCTATCTTCTGTTTTTCCTCCGATTTCTTTCCAGAAAAAATGGAACAATAGCCCAGGCTCCTGCTCCCCACCCTCCCCACTGCTTCCTGCGTTTCCTGCTGCCCCTGAGCCGGCTTCCTGCCCCTGCTCCAGCCCCCGCTCCCTCCCTGGCCCAGCTGCCTGCAGGGGAGGAAAGAGATGGGGGGGGGTTCAGGAAAGGAAGGAGCCAGGGCTTGCTCCCCCACTCTGCCCCCCAGTTCCCCTGCTTCCCTCTCAGTCTGGGTGGTGGTGGTTAAGCCCTGGTGCCTGTCATCCACCGTGACCTCAAGTCCAACAACAGTGAGTTTGGGGGGCGTGGTCAGGGGGGTGGCATGGTCCAGGCACACACCTACTCCCAACCCTCAGCTGAAGCTAGCTAGGGACCAGCTGGAGGCAGGATCTCCTGCCCTAGGGGAGTCCCAGTTGGCCAGGGAGCCCATGGTCTCACACTGGCCCCCAGCTGGAGTCCCAGGCACCCAGCAGTCCTCCCGCCCCCGTCCTGGAAGGAGTCCTTGACTCCAGCCTGCAGCTGCAGCTTGGGCAAGTTAAGAAATTGGGATCTCTCAGGTGGGCTATGAGCATTTTGCCGAATTGTGGCCACCACCTCAAGGAAGTCCCCTGGATGCTGGTTCTCCTCATCTTTCCCTCCCCTAAAGTTCACACTCATGGTATTGGTGCTGTACTCTCTCCTTCCTTTGTGGTGGGCATCTCCAGGACAGATATCTCACAGGAGAAAGCCCCCTGTGGCTGTCAAGGCTGCAAGACCTCTAGCTGGTTATTTCAGCTCAGAGCCTCAATTTCAGACTCCATAAAAAGGGAGGGTGAATGGCTTAATGGCCTGGGCAAGCACTGGCATACAGCGTCCAACACGTGGGTCCTCAGCTGTGGATGTGGACATTTGAGGGATGGGTCACCAAGAGGGCCTAGCCCAGACTCAGGAAGTGCTGGCCTAAGGGAGATTCCATCTCTGGCCATTTTAGGCCTTGCACACACTACCCATCATGGGCTAGGACAAGTGAGTGGCAGGTCCGGAGGGCTTCCTGCAGCACGCAAGCCTCTCGCCAAGCCAAGCAGGCAGCATTTAGAGAGGCGCCCACTTGGGTGTCTGGGCAGGGCCTGACGAGAGCAAAGGCGCAGAGGATGGACACCAGGGACCAGGCCTTGTTGGAGCTCAGGATGCAGGCTGGAGAGTAGAAGGAGATGCAGGAGGGGCCAGGCTCAGTGGGTCCTTGGAGAGGCATGGAAGGTTCTTTGAGGGAAGCAAGTATGGATACTTCAAGCCTCCTGGACTGAGCTGACCATGGAAAAGGGGCTTGTGGGGAGCAGAGCATGCCAGGCGGCGGGGAGGGTGGCTGCCAGCCACCCACCCATGTGCTCACTCATCCATAGTAGGGGGCAATTCAGCCTCACCCCAGGCCTAGCCATCCAGGGAACCCACTTGGTGCCCCAGCCTGAGGGGGATTCCCCGCCTATATAGGGATGGCCGGTTCGCTCACTGGCTGAGCGTGGTGCTGACAACACCAAGTCGAGGGTTAAGATCCCCTTACCGGTCATCTTCTGGAGAAAAAAAAAAAAAAAAAAAGCATCATCCTGTTTAATACTTGTGATGATCCTCTGAGGTAGCCTTTGTTGTCATCTTCAGCCCTATTAACTGTTCAGGACTTAGTCCCATTTTGGTCAGAGGAATGAGTGAATTTTGAGACCGTTCTCTGAATTAGGAGAAACCTCAGGAAAATTAGCAGGGCATGGTAGAATGATACAGGCGGTTACTGAGGCATGTAGACATCAGGTGGAGCAGCGTGGGCACATGAGGGGTGGCTGAATTGACTCGTCTGGAATAGAGCTCCAAATGTGGAAGATGCCAGTGGGGAGGGGGAAGCTGGCACCTGGGAGAGGCTGAGACAGCCTGGGGGTGGCGGACAGAGGTTGATGAGAGGCTGGGCTCTAAGGAGCACCAGCACTGAAACAGCTGAGGTTTCTCAAGGAAACAGAGCCAAGGACGGCAGGGAGGGGTTGGGCAGTGGTGCCAGATGCCTCCACAAGTCACAGAGGGCTTGGCCAGCAGCAGGATCAGGGGTTGTGGCTATAGGCCCTAAAAAGTGAACACTCGGGTTCAGCCACCACCTCTGAGAAGTCTTCCCTGACTCACCAGGGTATGTTAGGTGCCCTTCCCCTCTGCCCAGCCCCCAGTACCCTATACTACCCCCATCCTGGGCAGGAGAGCCGAGGGCTGTGCTCTGACACATGTCCAGAAACATAGTTGGCATGGATATAATTTCTCCAAGTAGAGGGGCCCTCCAGACCTTTGATGATTCTGACTTTGTCCTCTTTCTATTCCTCTAAAACTTCTCATTTGAGCCATTTTTGTCCTGGTGAGAGTTTTGCAAGTTGCTGCTTCTTCGCACAGAGTATGGTGGCCCCATTTGGGCCAAAGCCACCCTTGCCAAGTTTGACCTTCCCCTCCTACGTTTGCCCCAAGCTCTCCTCCTTTGTGACCAAGAACCATCACCTTCTTAGACCCCTTCCTTTTCTCTTCACATCCGACGGCATCAGTAAATATCTTTTGGAGTCTCTCCCTTGGGAGTGGCTGCACTAGCCACGATGTGCTGTGGACATGGGGGGCCTGTGGTGCCTGCGGGGCTTCCTTTCTCACCAAGGGATTCCCTCTTGCTCCCCACCCCTAGGCAGGTTCTGATTCACATTCCTGCCTCAGCAAAATGACAAGACACTAATGATTTCTCTTGAAATCAAAGCCACAAATGCTGAGAGCCTGCCACATTGCCAGTTTTTATTCAGTGCCTTATTAGGGAAAAGTTAGCACACTGGCTTTGAAGCCACACAGATCAGGTTGGAATCTCTGCTTTATTTGCTGTATGACCTTGGCTAAGTCATTTCCCTGCTCAGTTTCCTCTTCTATAAAATGGGAATAATAATATCTACCTCATAGATTTTTTGAGTGCTACAGCTGAGTGTGTAACATCTGGCCTCATGTAGCCCCTCAGTAAGTGTGTCCCAGCATTGATAGTTATGTCTGATTCCACCTCATCTCCAACTGTGGGTGCTCCAGGCAAGATCTAGACCAATTCACCTCTGTGCCCCTAGTACCCAACCAGGATGTCTGTCAGGAGATAGTTTGCTCCCAGCTGTTCCCCTACCTCCACCACCTGATCCTGGAGCACCCACAATCCTGCTCCTCTTTTCCCCAGTTCTGCTGCTGCAGCCCATTGAGGGTGATGACATGGAGCACAAGACCCTGAAGATCACCGACTTTGGCCTGGCCCGAGAGTGGCACAAAACCACACAAATGAGTGCTGCAGGCACCTATGCCTGGATGGCTCCTGAGGTTATCAAGGCCTCCACCTTCTCTAAGGGCAGCGATGTCTGGAGGTGTGGACCGGGTGGGGGTGGACAAGGTCTGCTATGGGGCTGCAGAGGGCAAAAATGGTTGCCTAAGTCTAGGGCTGGGCAGACAGGCCAAGTCCAGGGGAAGGGACCCAAACAATTTTGATCGTGGTTGCTTTGGGGTGAGGTGGATTAAGTGGGCAGAGGAGGGGACACAGACCCTTTGTTTCGCCCACAGCTTTGGGGTGCTGCTTTGGGAACTGCTAACTGGGGAGGTGCCCTACCGTGGCATCGACTGTCTTGCCGTGGCCTACGGGGTGGCCGTTAACAAGCTCACACTGCCTATCCCATCCACCTGCCCCGAGCCCTTCGCACAGCTCATGGCCGGTAAGAGGACAGGACGGGCGGGTGAGGGGCAGCGCTCCCTGGCCCAGGACACATCCACCCACAGACCTTCTTATTCTGTCCCCCTTCCCTGCCATGCCCCTAGACTGCTGGGCGCAGGACCCCCACCGCAGGCCTGACTTCGCTTCCATCCTGAAGCAGTTGGAGGCGCTGGAGTCGCAGGTCCTGCGGGAAATGCCGCGGGACTCCTTCCATTCCATGCAGGAAGGCTGGAAACGCGAGATCCAAGGCCTCTTCGACGAGCTGCGGGCCAAGGAAAAGGTGCGAGGAGTCAAGGGTTCTGGGTTGGAAGGACAGATAACTGGGAGGGCGCGCGCCGGGGTCGGTGCCGGGCTGACCCCAGCGCCCTCACTGTCCCGTGCGCAGGAACTACTGAGCCGCGAGGAGGAGCTGACACGCGCGGCGCGCGAGCAGAGGTCCCAGGCGGAGCAGCTGCGGCGGCGCGAGCACCTGCTGGCCCAGTGGGAACTAGAGGTGTTCGAGCGCGAGCTGACGCTGCTGCTGCAGCAGGTGGACCGCGAGCGGCCGCACGTGCGCCGCCGCCGCGGCACGTTCAAGCGCAGCAAGCTCCGGGCGCGCGACGGCGGCGAACGGATCAGCATGCCGCTGGGTGAGAGGCGGGCCCAGGACTCCGCCCCGCCATTGGCTGCGCGGGCACGGGGGCGGGGCCGGGCTTGTGTGCGGGCCGCACTGGGATTGGTCGAGGGTGTTGGTGGGTG